TCTACTCGTATTTGAGTTTTGCAGCGATTTTGCTTTTTCTTTAAAACTTGACCGTATATATTCACTGCAGTGGAGAGTGAAGGGTCATGTTAGGAAACCGGTGGACTAAGAATTTAATCAGGTGGAGGGAGTAGGAATTAGAATGCGGTTTTTGTGGGAGAGCACATACTGTTTCATTCAATTTTCGTCGATAGTCGACAGGTTTTCACTCTTGCGAATATTCTATTAAGCCTAAATCGAGATCATCTTTATCAGTCAGTTTGTTGGAATGTGAAGTAAGCTCTTGAGACAAGGATAAGGATATGAAGGCTTCCAAGCACTTTACATCTAGCATTAGACGCCAGTGGTTTGTACACAAGAACCTAGTGGCTCCTCCACTGAAGGAATAAAGACGCATTCATGGCTATGCAAACGAAAATCTCCATCGTGTGAACTGATTTTTTTCCTTTTAGACGCTAAAAAACTTTTCAATGAAAATTGATGCAGGTCAGACCATAGCCATTGTGGGTCCAAGTGGATCGGGGAAGAGCACTGTCATCCAGCTGCTCCAACGTTTCTACGATCCAATTGAGGGCCAAGTAAGCTATGCTCCCACCTCACTCTGTTTCCACTTTAAAAAGTACAAATTTCCACTTAAACTGAGGAAGTTGGGCCCAAAGTTGGCACTTTCTAAAAGAGTCAGTCAGTTATTAAAACAGAAGCAAAAATCTTATGACATAATAAAGTTGTTTTTTTTCCCCTATTAGCACGCCCTACTAACTTGCTTGCAAAGTTTAAAAGTTACAAAGGATAGGCTAACGAGGTCAAAGCAAACGTATGTGACGCGCTTTCCTCTTATAGGTACTGATTGATGGCCACGACATTCGGGAATTCGACCTTAAGTGGATGAGACGTCAGTTTGGAGTAGTCTCCCAAGAACCTGTGCTTTTTGCAGCCACAGTCAAGGAGAATATTGAGTTGGGACGTGAAGGTTCCACCTTTGAGGAAATTGAAAATGCCGCAAAGCTCGCAGATGCGCATGACTTTATTATTAAAATGCAAGAAGTAAGACAACCCTTTCTTCACTTCACTGCTTTGCAGTGTCTTTTTAAATCACTCAAAAATATTCTGGATGCTAATTGCACATCATATTTGATGTTCGTCGATGGGCTTTTGAGCTGACGGAATGAAAACACGAACCATGATTTTAATTTCTAACTTAAATGATCGTTTTACTTTAACAAGTTCATTACGACTGAGATGTTAGCTTCAGCAGAATGGAACAAAGCATCATTAATGTGCAAAATCAATTCTTCCATCATATAGGAATACGAAACGATGATCGGTGAAGGAGGTGGTGGCATGTCAGGCGGACAGAAGCAGCGTTTGGCGATTGCCCGAGCTCTGTTGCGAAATCCACGGATTTTGTTGCTGGACGAGGCGACCTCGGCGCTGGATACCCACTCCGAGAGGGCGGTGCAGGATGCGTTGGACAGAGCTGGTGTCGGACGGACTGTCATCATGGTGGCACATCGACTCACCACTGTGCGCAACGCTGACTGCATCCTTGTGGTCGACAGAGGTGTGGTGAGAGAATCGGGCACCCACGATGAACTCGTTGCTCTCAATGGCATCTATGCACACATGCTGTCATCTCAGGTTGGTAACTGGTCTGCTGGTGCATTCGCGAGGGAGGTTTTGGTGGCACAATTCTTGATACTCCTCTTCCATTGGTCTGGTTCTGTCTGAAGTCATGTCTACTTTCCAACATTTAAGGTCGGGTAGAATGTTAGACTTGAATTTAAGGTGTAGTGACTATGAAATTTTACTCTTGAAGACACTACTGGTACATGTGGACTTGTTGTTCACCAAAAGTTTACTCTTTTGCGTGGTTGATTTGCGATTAGGAAACAAATTTGCAACACTCATCCGCACGCATTCTCAATTACAATGGCTGAAAAATGACTGAAGGCAAAAGTGATAAATCTTGAAAACTCTTCCATCCACTTTTTTGTGAGTTATTTGAGAGAACTCAATGAAACTGTGTCACCATTTGTTATCCAACCGACTTCGGTGTTTATGACAGATTTTGTGCGTACTTACTTTCATTAGGAGAAGAAGAAGGAGGAAAGCGAATCAGAGAGTGAGCCAGAGGAGGCGGTGACGCAACAGAAGCCTTCGAAGCATCCAGGCGTGTGGAAACGCACCTCACGAGAGGCTGAGACTGAGAGCATCGCGTCTAGTACCAACATCAGTGGCATGTCCATCTCCCCGTCTGTGGACGTGAGTTTCCTCTGCTTTACAACCCCACTGAGGCAATGCACTTGAAAAGAGGTTAAACGTTCTTGGCGTTAACTTAATTTCTCTTTATAGAAAAACGTCCTTGGAAGAGCATTTATGTTAAATAAACCAGAATTTCCCGTATTCTTCATTGGCTTGTTCATTTCGCTCATCTCCGGTGTCATCCAGCCTCTGTACGCGATTTTGTACTCCGAAATGTTCGAGGCAAGTATCTTTTCCATAGCTTTAGCAGGAGAACAAAACGCCCTGTGGTTTCTATTACTTTATTCCTATTACTCTATATTTAAAATGTTTTAGATATTTTCACCGGCGGAGGAGGATAAATTGGGCAAAACCGTGTTTGTTGGAAGTATGATGGCGGTGTTGGGTCTCGTACGCCTTGTCACTCAACTAGCATCAGTACGTCGCATGTGCATACGTCAGACCCTTGTGTCGGCCCTCAGCGTCTCTCTGAACACACACTTCCTCCTCTTCTTTAGAACTCTGCACTCGGCTGGGCTGGTGCCAAACTCACACAAAGAACTCGAGGTCTCCTTTTCAACGCCATAATTAGGCAGGTGAGGTCAAAGGAGACAGTATGATGTTTTCCGAATAGCCACTAGGCGTAGAAAATGCTTTAACATCTGCTTATAGAGACACTAAAATTGGACTATTGAAGGTCGCTAAGAGTCTTTGTCATCTTAATAATGGAAAGTAAAAAGTCATTTTCTTATTTGAGGAACCGGGATGGTTTGATGAGATTGCCAATCAGCCCGGTGTTTTGACAGCTCGACTCGCCACAGAGGTGTCAAGTCTGGAGACTGTAACAGGCGCCCAACTGGGTACAATTATGGAATCCATCTGCCTGATTATCGCCTCCCTTGTGATCACCTTCATGTACAGTTGGCAGCTTACTCTTGTCAATGTCTGCTTCCTGCCTATCATGGTCGCAAGTAGTGCACTTCAGGTAAAAAACCGAACCTTCTTCATTCCGTTGCCTTGTTTGTCTAAGCTGTAAGTCGAATAGAAATTCAGAAAAAAAAACAGTCACCTCAGAAATGCCCACCCTTAAAAACACGACTTTTCCATTTTTTCACTCCTTTGTTCACCCTACACTGTTGACGTAGGGGTTTCGACAATTTTAAATTCTCCGCTCAAACAGCGTTTTAAAACAACCTGGTTAAGGCCTTTGTAGACGGATACGATGATCGTCGCTGCCGCTTGATCACTGCTACATAGTCCTCCTTACTTTTTGAAAAAAAAGTTAG